CCTCCACTAGGGACCTTTTCCCCAACCCTAGCCAAAATTGATAGCATTTTCCCCCTTAACTTTTCTAATTTAAAAAGAGAAAAAATGGTTTCCCTACGTTTTATTTTGCATTTATGTAAATAAAAGGGTCATTTAATTGATACCCTTGAATATGCTTATTAGGTGTTTATTTTCTGCTGTGATTGTGCATTTTCTTTGCCCATTTTTCATTGTGATATTAAGTGTTCTTATTGATTTGCCAGATAGATATGAAATATTAACCTTTTTTTCTGCCACAAAAATGAAAAAAGATTTGTCCTAATTTTGTTTGAGGCAAATTTTGTTTATTTGTGGAATAAAAAATGTTAAGCTTTGATATAGTTAGGTCTATCAAACTTTTTCTCTGTAATTACCAACTCTGATGTTTTTCTTAGAAAACCTTTCCACATCCTGTATATTTATCTCCCCTCCTACTTCCTTTTAACTTTACCAGGATTCCTTTTTATATGTTACTATGCAGGCCTTTTTTTTTTTTTTCTTAAAACATCTTTTGTGATGGAGGGGCTTACCTTTTTTTCTTCTCCCAAAGCTAAGCAATTACCACACCACCATTGAATTTTCATGCCTTTCCGTATAAGTTGAAATCTCACTTTATCATGTTATAAATTTGTACATAACTAGGATCTACTTTTGGCCTTAATTATGTTTTATTAATCTACCTATTCTAGTGCTAATATCCCATTGTTTCGATTATTATGGCTTTATATCACATTTAGCAGTTGGCACGTGCATGCTTTTTCATTGTTGTTCTTTACAAAAGTTTCTTAATATGTTTAATTCACTCATTTTTCCAGATGAACTTTGAAATTACTTGTTCCATTCTAGTATGACTTTTTATTGGAATAGGATTGAATCTTTCCATTAGTTTGGAAAGCATTACTATCATTATAGTACTTGGTTTTTCCATTTAGGAGTTTGCCATGGTTGTCATGTAGTATGAATTTTGGCAACACAAACAGACGAAACACTTACAATGAAAAAGAATACCTTTCTCAGTCTGAACTGAATACTACCCCAAAGACCTAAATGAACCTAATCTGTGGCACAGTAAATCTTTTTGCCCTGCAGTGGACAGAAATGGACAGGGTTAAAGAGACGCAGGCTATGTGAGCAACAGCAGCTGATTCCTGGGAGCATCCCCACCTTTGTAAAGGAGGCAGCCATGATGCTAAGCCAAGAAGGGTTTGAAGCCTCTAGAAGATAAAACTTGGACAAGTTTTTTTTTTTTTAAGTGGCATGGTATCCCACATACCTTCTGATTTGTACAAAAGGGATGACAAATAGATTCTTGCTTTAGATGACCAATCACCACACAGAAATGATATAGAGTACATTTTAAATGATATGTATTATCATAGCAGTGTTATTCACAATAGTCAAAAGGTAGAAACAACCTGTGTCTGTTGACAAATGACTGCATAACAAAATGGGGTCTGTTCATACAATGGAATATTATTCAGTCTTAAAAAGGAAGAAAATTCTGACACAGGCTACAGCATGGATAAACCTTAAGGACATTATACTAAAAGAAATATCAGTCACAAAAGGACAAATGTTGTGTAATTCCACTTATATAACTGGCATTGAGTAGTCAAATTCACAGAGACAGAAAGGAAAAGGGTGGTTGTCAGGGGTTGGGAGGATGAGTGAATGGAGAGTTGTTTAATGGGTGGAGAATTTCAGTTGTGGAAGATTAAAAGATTTCTGGAGATTCAACAATGTGAATGTCCGTAAGACTACTGAATGGTGCACTTAAATGGTTCAGATGATACATTTCATTTTTGTGTATTTTTCTATGATTTTTTCAAATGATATATACTGTGTCTTCCTTTTACTGTGTAGGAATTTTACAAAACTTCTTTCATTTATGTAACACACTAAAACTATTTATTGAGTACTTTGTATGAGCTAGGCATTATTCCAGGTGCTGAGATAGAGCCATAAAAAACCCAGCAGTGTCCTTAGTGTTTGGAACTTAACAGTGCAATGGGAGAAACATTATAAATAGGTCAACATGTAATTAATAAGAAAAAATTTGGTAGTGATAAGTCCTATATAGAAAATAAATTAGGGTGATGTGATACTGAGCTAACTGGGGGCTAATTTAAATTTGATGTCAAAGGTTATCTATTTATTCTCTTCAGTCCTGGGCTTGAAAAACAGGTTTCAGGCTGTATGCCAACAAGGAAAGCTAATGACATGTGGAAGGTCTTCATTCAATTCAGGCTGTTGTAATGCTGTTTTAAAATAGAGAATGATCACAGTTTAATTTTTATTCTATAACCTACTGAACTGAATTTGTCATTGGAAGACTAACAATGGTGTTTAGGGACTTTGAGGACATGTCGTAACAACACACTTATCTTTGCTCCCCAAAGTTTGCAACGTGATCTCCAAGATAAAGTCACTGCAGAAGACTGGGGTTTTGTGGTGCTAGGCGGCGTCTGAGACCCAGCCTGTGTAGGCTAACAGAGGGCCCAGCATTCATCCCTTTAGAATTAGTCACTGGGAGCTCTCTATTTATCGGGAAACCTGGGGCACTGTAAACAGACTCCTGTCTTAGGCCCCTCTTCAGAAAAGAAAGCTATTATAGGGCCTGGGGATCGGCTTACACAGACAGGTACTAATCTCAGCAATAATTCATTCCTGCCACACTGTGATTCACGCTTTGTTTCTCACTCAGCCTCATGAAGAATTCGGAGGCCCATGGAACAAAGAGCCCAGGTCTAGAATCAGATACTATACTTAATGCAGTCATCTCTTTTATTATGGTAGAAGGTTACCCTCACAAGGCTACTCTTTTTTTTTTTTGTCATAAATATTGCGCTATGCTGTATCTCATTGTTTTGTCTGCTGAAAAACATATAAACAACAAACAACTTGTTTATTGAAATGAATTAATAGTTTATTTTGGCCAGGCAGTCGTCTGTAGGTGAATTCTGTGGATACTATGTGGAAGAATAAAGGGCAGAAAGAGATAAAATGGATTTGTTGAGTGGCTACTGTGGGCCAGGCACCAAGATGGATTTCGGGGCAGAACAACTCGAACATTATCCCTGCCCTCAGAGAATTTATCCCTGCCCTACACAACTAACTGACTCAGGTAATAAGGAATTGTGACAAGTGTTATGATAGAAGAGGGTGTATTTGGAAGCACACAATAGGAAAAGTTAACTTAATCTTTGGGATTGAGAAACCCTCGCAGAGAAAATGGCATTTAAGCAGAGATCTGAAGGATGTGCTGGGCTTGAGAAGTGGCAGGCGGGACTCTAGAAAAAGAAAACAGTATATGCCAAGATCTAGAGGCAAAAGGAAGCACAACACTTTGCAAAAATGAGGAAAAAATCCAGTTTTCCTGGGTTATGGTGTGAGGAGGTGGTGGGAGTTGGAGAAATTGTAACCCTTGTGTACTGTTGGTGGGAGTGTAAAATGATGCAGCTGCTATGGCAAATAGTAGAGCAGTTCTTCAAAAAATTGAAAATAGAGTTATCATATGATCCAGCAATTCCACCTCTGGAGAATTGAAAGCAGGGACTCAAAGAGATATTAGTGCACCCTTGTTCATAGCAGGATTATTTATAGGAGCCAAATGGTGGAAGCAAAGTGTGCATCAAAGGATGAATGGATAAACAAAATGTAGTATATACACAATGGAATATTATTCAGCCCTAAAAAGGAAGGGAATTCTGAGACACACTATGAACGTAAGTGTGTCTGGAGACATAAGTGGAATAAGCCAGTCATAAGTACTGCATTTTTCCACTTGTGCAAATATCTAAAGTGATCAAATTCATAGAGACAGAAAGTAGAATGGGGGTTGTCAGGGGTTGGGGAGTGGGAGGGGGTGGTGGTAGACCCAGGGAGTTACTGATAAATGAGTAGAGTTTCAGTTTGGGAAAGTGAAAGTCTGCAGATGGGTAATGGTAATGGTAACACAACAATATGAATATACTTAATTTCGATGAACTGTACACTTATAGATGGTTATGTGTATTTTTAAAATTTAATTTAAAATTTTTCAAAAAACAGTTAGTGATTCCTATCCCTGGTATTGTCCACTCTAAAATTATTTCAAACCAATGAATGCTTAATTAACTTCGATTTTTAGAAATAATTTTAATTTTAATCAGTTACAAATGTTCACACACTAACATTGTAAGAAATACACAAAATGAGGAAAATAATGTTAAAGGATAATTTTTTAGGAAAACAAAATCTTTCAAGAGGCTGAAATAAGAAATTAAAATCCACGGTAACTCCTCATCCCAGAAATACACTCCCTTTGATTCTTTTGCATCAAAGTTAATCCGGAGCATAGAGTCTTTATTAAACAAATCAAACAAAACACATAATTGCAACACTTCGGAAAATGCTTCCCGACCTCTGGGTACACCTGCCAAGCGCATCTCCGGAGGTTCCTCCCGGTAGGCCGCGAGTGGCTGCGAGCTAACAGAGCAAAACTTCGAGGGCCCGTCGGATCCTCGCTGAGGGTGGAGGGGGACAGGCTACAAGCGCAGGGCCGGCAGTCAGGGGTGCAAGAAAAACTTGAGCAGCCGACATCCGCTGAGAAGCAGGGACCTACGCGGCGCCGCGGCGGGGTGCG